TTTTTGTTTTTGTTTTCCCTCCTCTTTTCCGCCCTCGGAACAATTACACGTATTATAGATTTTTCACCCCGCGTTTTCATTTCAAGTTTCGAACCGAGAAATAAACGAACGTATCATTTACACGTTGGGCAACGATAGAAATCCATGCGTTCTAATACAATATATATAATATACAGAATATATAGAATATATATCAGTAAAACTGTGTCCAGTTGTACTGGCTAAGCACAGAATGTTTTTGTTCAATAGAGTACGGTACAGTACGATATGGCGTTAAGTTACTACTAAAGTGCCTTCAGTCTATCCAATGTCAGTACTATCTTGTATTTGGTGTCGTTAAAACCGTCCCTCTGCAGTCTTTCAAGAATTGCATGTCCCGTTCCGTTAATTTCCCCATTAACTATCTCCATCCTTCCCTGCCCTAACCGCGGACTTCTTTCCACCTTGGCTCCCTATTACGCTACTATATAACTTCGAATCAGGCTCGACAGCTTGACAACAGCTCAACGGCTCAACAACATGGCGAACGGTCATCATACATATATATTGCATTTACTCAGTCTACGTGGTTCCCTTATTTATATTGTGTTGTGTGTATGCATGTACCGCCGTGTTCTCCTCGATAAAACGTATGCACATTTTCGATGCTACATGCAACACACGTTTGATTCTCTCCGTAATATAATAGTCACACAATAGTAAATATACTCTTTGTTGATTTGGATTTACGTTTTTGCGTTTTCTTTCTTTCTTTCTTTCTTTCTTTTTTTTTTTCCTTTTTCCTTCTTCTTGCCTCTATAACTGATCCCCATCGTCGCGTTAACTACGTTAAGACGACTAAACGAGTGTACACCGGTTCAATCGTATATAAACTCTTTGTATGCGCATATCTTCCTTTCTTCCTCATGTTCCTTGTTTCTTTTCTCATTTGTATAATATCCGCGACTCCCTTGAGGGGAAGGAACGCAGTAAAGCTCGTTTCGTTTGTATCTTAATGCCCGTTGCGTGTTACGCGCTCGAAAAATCATCTATTGAGAAAAAGGGAGCTTTCGGTTATTTGACAGGCCGCACTGGCCGACCTCGTCCGAAAGAACGAACTTCCGAACGAATCAAGAGAAAACCAGTAGTTGTACGATTGTATAATTGCGAACAAAAGATATTTGATCTGTACTAGCTGCTACGTTTAATATCATGCGTCCCTTTGTTAAAATCCCGGTTCCCTTTTGTCAATTTCACCGTTCGAATTTCCATCAAGAAATTGTTCCGAGCTGCAACGGGCAAAAAAATATTAACTGAAGCATTGAAACTGAAGGTGCGAACGAACAGTTCGATGCCTGATTTTTAAATACTGAAAACGTCGTATTTCTTTTGAGCAGATGAGCCTATTTGAATTAACATGGCGGCGGCGTGGTCCACGATTAACTTTCCGCAAATATCCGTGGGAACGTCCTCGACTTCTTGTTCCATTTTGTTTGATGTTTGATCAAACGTTCGTGAAATGTGTAAAAGAAGAAACGAATGTACCCGTTCAACGATGATCAAGCGTTTAAAGCTTGCGTACTTGATTGACTATCTATATTTACTCCGATCCCCCAATGGCTTTCGTGATTCGTTTCACTAGTTTTTATCCCCAATACCAACTCTCTGCGTACTAATTGTACTTTATAAACTACAACTATTAACCTAACGCGACTACTTGTTCTCTCTTCGTTCGTTCGAAACACTGCGACTTTTCTTTCTTTCTTTCTTTCTTTCTTCTTTTTTTTTCCCCCCTTTTTATCCTTTCTTTTACAGCCATGAGTTTTTATTCCGGAAAGCCACTGACACGTACGCTCGCATCTCTCTCTTGAGCTTTTCACGCGGTTCTTCTTCGTTCGCTCCGTGTCTCTCCTATGCGTAAACGTTGCCCTGACTCTTGCCGACGACGAAGAAATCGATCAACGATTTGTTCAACGATTCATCGACGATTGTACGACGCGAAGTGATACTATGCCCCGTTGAGAACGCCTGCCCAGAAACGTGGGAGGAGCGGTAATGGTCGGTAACGGTAATTTTGCTTTGTTTCTCAAGAGACAGAACGAAGGGAAAGAGCCAGGGAACGTAGCCTGAGAAGAGAGGACGTACTGACAGCGGTCTACCGCTGCTGGCCCATACTACTGCTGCCACTGCTGCTAAGACTCATGTGCGGCTTAAGGCTATGTATGATTTTAACGTGGGCGACCATGTTATCTTTCCGCGTGAATTCCTTAAAACAAACTGGACAAGGATAGTACTTGACGTTAGGCTTGTGTGAGGTGACGTAGTGCCGGCAGAAATTGCTGATGTGTGTGTAGGTACGATGGCATACGGTACACCGGTATACGTCGCCCTCTTTCACGCAGAAGTCCCGCACCGAACCTTCCGTTCTCTCGTTCTCGACCTTAAACGATCCCTCGAAGTCGCTCTGACTGATCTCCGACTCACCGGCGACCAGATTAAATATGGCACTGCTCATATTGTCTTTCGACACCTTTTGCTCCGATTCGGAATCGGAATATTGTTGCGAGTCGTCCATCGACGCTGTCGTTGCCGTTGACGATGTTTTCCCTTGGAGTGACGACGCGCTGTACTCCTTGCGAAAGCATCGCTCGAAGTTGATGCGAATGTGAGTCGGTGACTGCGAGCCACCACCACTCGACGTCTCCTCCGAGTCTGAAAATGAAGAAAGCTCTCTTCTTTAAACAGTTCTCAACGGCTGCAACCGTCTTATATATGCATTTATATAGAACTACGTTACAATAACGTCATTCCAACTTAAGTATATCGATGCGTATTATAGCATTGTATTATCGTTAAAAAAAAAAAAATTATTTCTAGTAATATATAATTGTGTATATAATAATGTATACTGAGATAGATATATATATATATATGTATGTATATATATATATAATATTTCTATATTTGTGGGGGGAAGCAAGAGGAAGGGTAGAGCCAGCAAAAAAGAGTCACCGTGTTCGAACCGGCTGTCCGTCAACTCTGTCCCATGTTAAGTGTTTTATGCCGCACCCGCTTTTCCGTGTCCCCACCCTTGTTCGTCGTCGTTCCCTCTTCAGATTCTTTCGCTCTCACGCACGCTTTCGCTACTGCTCACTGTTGATCGCGGCTTTGCCTCGATCCCGTACGGCTGGCTGCGAAGAGGACCGTTACGGTCTCGTTTGCCATACCACCAAGAGCATTTCAGCGACTCAACGATGCCTCTCTTTCTTTCTTTCTTTCTTTCTTTCTTTCTTTCTCTTTCTTCCTTCCTTTCTTCCAAATGGATATGCACCATACACGCGCTCAAGCATTCACGCGGCCATACATACCCATACTCTTTCTCTCACACGCACCCTTTCTCCCTCACGTCTCTCACGCACACTCACATTCCACCCTCTCGCCGTTCGCAGCCTTACACCATTTAACTTGCCGTTTCTTTCTTTTTTTTTTTTTTCTCTCCTCACCGTTCACCTGGACTCGCTCTCGTATCTATTGCTACCGAAGGTATGCAAATAACACGCATACACGCAGAAACGCGCACAGACGCACACGTACCACTCACGCCAGGGACGAACGCTTACACATACGCGTGCAGAATGCACGTATATGCGAATGTTAATGAACATCATCGTGTAACCCACGAAAAAAGAACCCCCGCCCGCCCCTTATTTTACATTTCGTTTGAAATCGTCCGTGCGTCCCGTCAAGTCTGAAACCGTATTATACGCATATATATTGTATCCATTTTTTTTTTTTTTTTTTTTCTACGGGAAGACGACGATCCATCGAGATCGAGGACGCTCGAGAAGAAGCAAACGTTTTCTCTTCTTCGATGCAATTACACTTTGTTACATAGTTAATCCGCTTTCGGCTTCACTTTACACATCAGATTCTTTTATTCGACTTTCTCTTATTTAGATTCTGGCATTTCGGAACGGCGTTTCGTTTTATTATACATATTTTTTTTTTTTTTTTTGGTTTGTTTGTTTTGTTTTATTTTATTTTATTTTTTTTTTATATATATATATATTTTTTTTT